TTATTTGGAACTATTCAACAAATCAAGACAATCAACTCAATTAAGAATCCTTTGTTATTAAACTAAAGATAATCAGGCAGGCGGTAGCACTGTTTATGTAGGGGTGGCTCGTACTGTTCATCGAAATGGTATTTTAAATATCTCCTCGATAGGTCATCAGAACTTTACAATACTATACAGTGTTTCCTTTTATAACAATATCTATGTCTGGAAATGTGTGTAAATTTAATAGCAAAAAGTTTAATTTCTTTCTTTGATAGACTTACGAAAGACTGAATACTTTCGAAACGTCGTCCTCTACACTTGTGTGTTTTTGTTTTTTTACAACAGGCAATCGCCGTCCATTCCTGTTTACACACTTTGAATTTCTTGTTCTTTCTGCTGCTTTTTTTTCATAACATGATAACCCCAAAACCACATAAATGGTGACACTGAGGTGACATAGTTTCAAACGGAGTATCCGCTTTTATAATTATCATTAACCAGTAGTAATTTTAAAAAAAATCATAATTCTAGTGTAAACGGTGTTCTCATTATCCCTTGAAGTTAGCTTTATTACAGAAGTTTTATGTTCCTTTAAAAAGTTTAAGTACAGAGTGAAATATGAATTACCAGCCAATAACTGATAAACAACAAATATTACAGTTGGAACCTTATTGTATTTAGACAATAATTAACATATAGCAATATATATAACTATTCAATCACAATTGAGTTTAATTTATCCTATTTTTGTTTTTTAACATTCTATTACATTGTGTGCCTGTGCTGTTATGTAGGGATGGTGCAAGGGCCATCCCTACATATATTTCCATTTTGAAAAGTTCTATCTTTACTTGTAAATGATTTAGAGATATTCAACAAATCAAGACAATCAAACTAAACTAGGAAGACACTTGTTATTAGACTAAAGATAATATATTATTTATAACTATTGAACACATCAAGATGATCAAACTAAACTATGAAGACACTTGTTATTAGACTAAAGATAATATATTATTTATAACTATTGAACACACCAAGATGATCAACTTAAGGTTGGAAGACACTTGTTATTAGACTAAAGATAATATATTATTTATAACTATTGAACACACCAAGATGATCAAACTAAACTAGGAAGACACTTGTTATTAGACTAAAGATAATATATTATTTATAACTATTGAACACACCAAGATGATCAACTTAAGGTTGATTCAAATTATGGATATTTGAAAGTGTGTAAAATATAAATAAATAACAATGAACCAAAAAAAAATACAATTTATGAAGTCATGTTTACGAATAAGTTGCATACAAAATTCCGTAACTATTTTAGATAGATGACCCTGTTGATTATCACGTGCATCTGTCTTGCCCCCCCCCCCACTTCGAATGGAAGTCGTAACACCTAATGCCAGAGTAAATGAAGCTTAAACAAATTTATCATTAAGTATATTTTAATGTATTTAATATATTTAACGATTATATATTTTTGAAAATATATTTAATTCGGATCATTTAAGTTAAATTGAAAAATGATATTTAATCGTTTATATTAATTACATCTTTGAAGTTACGAAACCGGTAGAAAATAAAAAAAGAGAAAGATAAATATTACAGATTTGTAGTGTTCTGTTATTTGTATTCACAAGTGGAAACTTGTACGTGTTTTGGTTATATTTATGTATTATAAGGTTTGGTTTGTTTTCAATTTCGCGCAAAGCTATCCGTCCCTAATTTAGCAGTAAAAGACTAGAGAGAAGGCTGCCAGTCACCACCACACACCACCAACTCTTGAACTACACTTTTACCAACTGTCAAGTTTTTATAGGGGCCGAATTCTTTACAGCAGGTGTCTGTGACTTGTTGGCGATAAACTTCAACAATAAACGAACAGCAGACAATCTATTTGTTTTAAAATAATATATTCAAAACAAGTCAAACGTCTGTACAAAAATTCATTACACTATTGTTTACCAAAGTTGAATCCGGAGCTTTAAATAATTCTCCTTTTCGTTAAAAGCCCACACAGTCTGGTTCAATTATTTTACAACTCAATTGACAAGACGAATTATTCTTCTCTATCTCTGTTGTTACAATACAAGCTGTGATAGTCACTTCAAAACCACCACTATAACTGTTTGTTACCACAGTTGTATCCAGAGCCTTAAATAATTTTCTCTTTTTCGTCAAAGTCCACACATGCGGGTTCAACTACTTTAGAACACCCTTTCACAAGACAAATTATTTTTTTTCTCTGTTGTTACAATACAATCTGGGATACTTTCACTAACTTAACTTCCTCCCTGTATCTGCACGTAATTATAACACGCGACAGAAAAATCTAGAACTATTTAGCCCTCCAGTAACAACAATACTAAACATAATAATAAGAACTTAGAAGCTTCAAGTAAGATGACGTCAACAATATTACAAAAGCCGACTATAACAATTAAACTACACACACAACGTGCTACTCGTACGGAGTTACGTAATGAAACTTTTCATAACCATGGCTTTTAAATAATTAACTTTTAACATTCTTGTTATGAAAACTAAATAATCATTAAATAATAAATCTTAAACTCAACAGTCTTGTATATCCAACAACGACACAATTATAACGCCCCCATGGCTGAAATGGAGAGCATGTTTGATGGGACGGGGATTCGAACCCGCTATATATATACACGCATACACACTGTATGAAACAGTTTTTTCATTAGTGCTAATCAAATTATCATGGTGATTTTTTCACATAAAAACAATGCCCCCCAGTGGCACAGCGGTATGTCTGCAAACTTACAACGCTAGAAACCGGGTTTCAATACCCGTGGTGGGCAGAGCACAGATAGCCCATTGTGTAGCTTTGTGCTTAATTCCAAACAAACAAACATAAAAACAAATATAAGTTTATAAAATTCAAGGTAAAAACATCCCCAGGTTGGCACCTCCCCCAATGTCAATTATCAAAACAGTGTTTAAAAAATTACCATTTTCTGGGCCGTAACTTATATAGTTCACATTCTTTGTTTTTTATGAAATTTGTTTTTTGGCTCTCTTATCTTTTTCCTCCAGTTTCATTAGATAAAAATTTATATTGTGTTGGGGAGGGGGTATTGGAAACCCGGAGGAAAATGCCCCATCTGGGAGGCCCTAATTTTATGGCCGGGGATTGCCTGATGGTTTACGTGCCGAGATACGTATTGAGAGGTCCAAGGTTTGAGCACGTAATATTCTACACATTCAGCTCTAAGCGCGTTATAAAATTGACAACCGATTTCGCTGTTAGGTTAACAATAACAATTGTTAAATACGAATGTAGACGCCGTCCTCCCACTTTTCATCCACTATTGTTTCATACTTCTATCTGCATTGTTATTTGTCTTGAATAGTAGGTTTTCAAAGGTTTTAACTTGGCTATCTTGTATCCGTGCTGGTTAACCCTGAAACGTTCACCCTATAGGAGGAACCAGGCAGGCGACGTGTCCTGCTGACTGGCTTCTCTCTGGCCAGCAGTTCTAAATTAAAGACGACTGTTTTACTTAAATTGAAGTTTTGTTTTTGTTTTTTGTTTTTGAATTTCGCGCAAAGCTACACGAGAGCTATCTGCGCTAGCCGTCCCTAATTTAGCAGTGTAGGGCTAGAGGGAAGGTAGCTAGTCATCACCACCCACCGCCAACTCTTGGGCTACTCTTTTACCAACGAGTAGTGGGATTGACCATCACATTATAACGTCCCCACGGCTGAAAGGGCGAGCATGTTTGGTGTGACGGGGATTCGAACCCGCGACCCTCGGATTGCGAGTCCAGCGCCCTAACCACCTGGCCATGCCGGGCCTAAATTGAAGTAGTGACACCTTCTGATACACATTCAGAATCAGTGATTTACTTCTGATCATGAAAACGTAGTTCGTTAGCTCCCAAACTATGTA